GGCATAGTTTTGCGTGGGTGGGTGGTTTGCCACCTTGATGTTAATGTGTAGTATAAAGCTATAAGCGTTTGAGAAGTCTTGTGGTATGACTTAAGAACACTGTGTTCCTTCCAAAGATCAAATGAAACCTACTCCGCTGATCAATACATATGAGAACAACATGTACTGCATGAAGTTCAATAACAAGCGTTAAAGGGAGAGTTCACCCAAAACTGAACATTCTGTCATCATTTATTCACCCTCACGTCAGTCCCAACCTGTATGACTTGAAACTAGAAGCACAAGAGACTCAGGAAGCACATCCATGGCATTTAAAAGGAGAGTTCACTTAAAAATGAAAATTCTGTCATAATTTGCACATTCCAAACCCGTAAGACTTTCGTTCATCTTTGAAACAGAAATGAACATATATTTAATGAAATCTGAGAGAATTCTGTCCCTCAATGCAACTACCACTTTTGACACTTCATAGAGAGATCATAAAACTAATCCATATGAATTGAGTGGTTTAGTCCAGATTTTCTGATGAGACCTGATTGTGTTAACGGATCTAATATAGGCTTTTATTCACATATAAACATTTGTCAACACAGACATCAGTTATGGCAAACGGAAGCTCAATGCTTGACATGTGAGAACCAATGAGGTTCATTCTCATGTTACGCAGCACATAGATATGTATAGGTAGATGCCACATTCGACTGCTCCAGACACGTTGACGTGTCCGCCATCTTGGAACAGTCAATGTGTCGTCACTCACAATAAAAATCAATTTCAAGATTCAAGATGCCACAACATTGTGCAGAATCTGGTTGTAAAAAACGCCGAAATTTAAATTCCTGAAGAAATGTGGTAAATTTTCACAGGTAAGATTGTGTTGGTTTGTGTTTTTAATATGTATTAACTCAATATTACAGCTTTTTAAACTATAGTCACTTTTTAATGTTTGTGTTAGCTAACGGCTTCGTCTTGTTGTATTGTGTTAGTTTAGCAAAATCATCTGCTGAATTCTATTGCAGATATAGATATTCATCCTAGGGTTGCAGACATACTTGTTCTCGAGTGTTCACAGACCTGCTTTGACCCTTCCAATATGGCGGATGGCTTACATATAGCGTCCCATAGAAACAGCCTCTAATAGGGCATCTACCCATACATATCTGTGTTGAGGCACATTTGAGCTCAGCTTACGTAAAAACCAACAAGGTTTGTTCTCATGCATCGTAGGAGTACAAGTACGGTTGAGCTTCTGTTTATATTTGCTGATCAATGTAAATATTTATCATAAAAAGCAATAGAATCTCTTCAGAAAATTTGGACTCAGCCGCTTAATTTACATGAATTAGTTTTACAATCTCTTTATGAACTTTTTGAAGTAAGTAGTTGCATAGACTCTCAAAGGGACAGCAATCTCTTAGATTTCATAAAAAATACCTTCATTTGTGTTTTGAAAACGAACAAAAGTCTTATGGGTTTGGAGGTCTTAAGGGTGAGTAAATGACAGAATTTTCATTTTTGGATGAATTATCCCTTTAAGGAGGATGGCCAGAAAAATTACATGGTGATGAGTCAAAAAAAATGGTAGGTGTGCTTGAAGACAACCACTGGACCTCTCATCTGTCATAATGAAGAAATGGAAGGGAGCTCATGGTGAAGATGAGATATGTAAGCGCTCTGAGGAAAGGTGTTGAGCCACTGGAAGCCCCTCAAAGCCTCAGCTCTTGTTTGTGGTCGTCAAGGCTACCAAAACCCTTGTATTTCACATCTAATTTCATGGTTGCCGTGGAGAGCAAGTCTGCCTGGCTCACCCTTGGCAACGGCTAATCCCTGAAAGTTCAGGTGGCCCTTCTTACCAAGACGACGACATACCAGAGTCATCATGAAAAAGGCAGCATCCTCAACACTGATAATTAAAAATAAGACCTTTTCATCTGCCTAACATTTATTAGCATCACTGACAAATGCCATTTGTGACCTTAGAGATGCTCATGACAATATTGCAGTTATAGTTCATTTCAAGTAGTTATTTAGTAGTATTTTCAGACACTTTGTATAAAGGTAATGCATGAACATATTTAATGTTTACTTAAATATTGTTCGGTGGAAAAAATCCTAAACATTTGTGCAAGTAATTAAAAATCTGCAAGTATTATAACGTCTGGTTCCCTGGATATATACAAACAAACAAACAATAAATAAATAAATAATAGGAAGACAATGATTTCAGAAGATATTTGAGATGATAATATTTGAAAAGGGACCTCCTAAACTCACCTAGTTTGCCTTTATTTGATTTTAAAATACATGTTGTGAAATATTACAATTTAAAATAACAGTTTTCTATTTTAAAGGGGTCCTATTATGCTTTTTCACTTTTTCAACTTTAGGTAGTCTGTAATGTTGCTGTTTGAGCGTAAAAAAGATCTGCAAAGTTACAAAGCTCAAGTCCACTTCAAAAGGAGATATTTTATTTAACAGAAATCACTTTTCAAAACTACAGCGAACGACTCATTTGGACTACAACGCATATTTTCGGGTTTTTGTGATATCACAAATATCGACGAATGGGACGAGACCTGGTTGAGCTGCACTAGAGAAGGCAACGAGTGTTATCACTATGTCGGAGACACGCTAGCTTTCCCAAGGCAGACGCACTTAGAGTGGTTACAATCATCCGGGTTTAAATCGCACTCAAATTGATTTGATTTTGACGCAATATTTACACTGAAGCTCGCAGCAGGCAGCTATGGTAAGGGGCATGACGTTTCCCGACCAGGTGCCGAGTACTGCCAATCACAACACACACTGGCCCAGCTAACAAATCACAGCACATTACGTATTTCAGAAGGCGGGCCTTCATTTGATACAGGAACTATTCGAGCCGTTCATGCCAGACTGGGGAGAGAGGTGTTGTAATAATGTAAAATATGTGAAAAATAATGTGTTTTTCAAACAACCTAGTATGAGAGCCTGTTCTAGTACACCCCCAAAACAAAATCAAGACTTTGTAAAAGAGCATAATAGGACCCCTTTAATATATTTTAAAATATATGGGCAAAGCTGAATTTTCAACAGCTATTACTCGTTTTTTTTTTGTGGAAACTTTGATCAATTTAATGCATCCTTGCTGAATAAAAGTTTAAAAAAAAATTTTTTTTAAAGTACTCACTACAAACGTTTGAACAGTAGAGTAAATTAGACAGTAGTTTCTAAGACACATCAAAGCTTAGTTTTGGCTTGTCATTCCTCCTGGCCTTGTTTGCTTTATGTCTGAAGCAGCTCTTTGAGACCAGTAAATCACACATGAAGCGAGTCAGTCATGTTTTCCACAGGCTTTTGCATGAACTGTGGTCAGGTGCAATGGTGTTGTTGTAATCCGAGAAAAGAGAAAGGAGCGTCACACATCTGCTAACACTTAGCCAGATTTTGAACTCTGCCAAATCAGTGCAATAACCAACAGGCTCAAACACTGGACTCTCCATCTATCTATAAAGGCCTACTGCTGTGAGATGAAAGACCTTGGAGAGCATAGCCAAAACAGAAGACATGCAAGTCTGCAAGGAGAAATGAAAGCATCAACTATCAAGTGCCTTTGCTTGAACATTTATAAAGAGAGTGGATTTAGGTTGGCTCCAACAATCATGAAAATTACAACAGCACTGAGCTTCATTTGCAGAGTTTAATTGCAGTCAATTTATTTCCCATGAGAACTTTGTTTTCATCATATACTTTGCTACATATGATGTCTGATTTTCTGTTTAACCTTCATGATTATTAAGCTGCTATCAGGGCAGATTAATTGTGTGTAATTCAGGGCTATTTTTTTGCTCCTCAGGCACTAGCGGTCTCAATTCACGTGGTGCTGTGGGTCAGATCAGGCATGAGCTAAGTAGGGGGTACATTTGATTTTGTTATATAACTAACTTGACCTGAACTGGTTTCAAGCAGAGACACCTTTTCATTAGCAGACTACTCATTTCTATTGTGTAGACAGTTCGCTGCTGAAGTGAGAGGATGCGAAGAAGAACAGCACAGAAAGCTGCTTGGAAAAAGTTAGGCCACAGTTCATTTTCAATGCTGTGAAACTGCCACGGATGAATAATAAAAAAGTGTGCGTCTGAAGGATAACAGAAAGCACTGCCACCCTAGGCTGTTGTAAATCTTAGCAACTCAATTTCTGACAAAAACGTCCAGGACCAAGAACATTTCTATAAACACGCAAACAACACCTCATAATGATAATTTTAACAAGACAAAAAATATATTTTAGATACTGACAAAGGAACTAACAGTTTTTAAGAAAAAAATTTAAAATGAATCAACAATGCTGAAAGTAGGTTAATTTGTTTACTCATATTATACATATTTACATTTATGGATTTAACAGATGCTTTTTTTCCAACCCAGTCTCATAAAAATACGTACCTCTGCGTACATTTCTCCAACACCGTTTTTACTTACCTTACTGCACGTTTCGCCGCAGTTTCAAAAAGAAATGTCCACTGAGTGGCGCTAAAACACGGGTTCAATACGTCAACCCTGGCACGTTTTTATTACGTTGATATAGGTACGTATTGCTATGTTTTTATTACGTTTCTTCAGGTAAGTATTGCGGCGATTCAGAATTGAAATATCCGGGGACTGTCGCTAAAAGTTAATGCTCTATCCTGTTGGCATATAATGCAACTGCAAAAACGTAAACAATCTCTGTTCGCACTGTACTTTTACAAAATAGGTACTGATTTGATATAATCGCATGCTTTTAATTCAGGAGCCTAGGTTTTCACAAGAATGCTGTGTTTTGTCTTTGTTGGTCTATGTTCTCAGCTCATATTTGTAACTCTTGGATGTGTGGTTGTGGCCTGCTGTGGTCCTTGTTCACATGGCACCACCTTGTGGATAAAATCTCATTAAGCCTCTTAAGGAGCAGAAAACAAAAAAACACTTATAAAAATGTAATTAATTAAAGCTTTAAGCGAATGAGAGTAGCCTGACCTATAAGTAGCATACTGGCTCAAAGAGGCAGAGTTGTCCAAAACTTTCCTGCAGATTAAAAGAAATTACAACTGGTAATGAAGCAGAAAGAATTTATTATCAACCATAGATAGGAAAATACATTAGTGTAAGGAACCTCTATGTACAGATCTCTAGAACTAAGAATACAGAGAACAGAGAGAAAATAGTTGTTTACCATTCTTTTCCAGAGATTTTTTAAAGAGCTGCCTTTTTCAGATTTTATTAGAGATTGAACATTCATTGAATATTGTGAAAACTTTTTCTTTTTTTTAAATTATGGATGTGTATCTCTGCTGACTTTATCTTGAATGGTAAACAAGAGTTGATCCCATGTACTACATGATGGCTCATGATGGTATGTAGAGTGTTAGTCACAGAGAAACTACTACAAAAGGACATTGGCCTCTACGAAACATAAGTGTTCTGAGGTAAAAATAAAAAACGGTCCAGCTAATCTTATCAATTTTATTGCAGAAGGTTTCAGTATTACAAAACAAAGGCTGGAAACGTTTGTTATAATACAGGGCTGTCCAAACTCGGTCCTGGAGGGCCGGTGTCCTGCCTGTCCAAACTCGGTCCTGGAGGGCCGGTGTCCTGCAGAGTTTAGCTCCAACTTGCCTCAACACACCTGACTGGAAGTTTCTATGCCTAGTAAGAGCTTGCTTGGCTGGTTCAGGTGTGTTTAATTAGGGTTGGAGCTAAACTCTGCAGGACACCGGCCCTCCAGGACCGAGTTTGGACAGCCCTGTTATAATATAAAGGGTAAAGAAGAAATAAAGCAAGAGGTAATGAAAAAAAAATGGAAGGACAGGAAAGAAAGACTTGATCCATTAGTTGCACAGTTTCTCATTAGTTTAAGTATAGATGTTGGAGGTGTACTACTAAAATTAAGATTTTTTTATTTTCCATTTAATGTCTTTGTCTGGGAAGGATGAATTTGAAAATTTAAACACAAAGGTCTCTGAATTTAGTTTCCATTACCAATATTACTTTCTAGCACTTTAAGCAGCAATCGTCAAGTACAATCACTTATCACTGATTGCACCGATATCAAGTCAAATACTTTACCATACAGTTTAATTTAAGCGAGACACCATCTCTGACAACACCTGGTGTCAAACAGCTCTCCATCACGACATTAAATTTCACAAAAATAGTCTACTAACAAGCAGGACGATCTACAGATTTAACATTATCGGTCTGTGGGCACCAACTTCGCATCTTTCTACCATTTAGTCAGAGAAGCAAATGTTATAGGACCAATAATCAATGTTAATAATTGTGAAACAGATCATTAAACCAAAATAGACACCAATAATGTAGGAGAATTCATTATATACACATACACAACACAATTCATTTGTTTTGCAGAAAGGATATATGCAATACACATTTTATTCACACTTTACAAAACACTAATCTCATTTTTACTTTAATAACATTAACAATTCATGGTCACTTAAGACAAAACAAAATGCTGAAGAATATTGTGAAGAGGCCCCGAATAACAAAAGACTGCTCTGGTTCTTACTGCTAAAACAAAGCAAGACGTAAAAGCCATACTGCTGCATAGTTCAAAGAAACTGATTAGTGACATGTTGAATGTGTGATGGTCATGCTGACATCAGTTTAGTGAACCAAAATACATGAACTACAAATAGACCACTGCCAGACATCATTTGCAAATCATAGAGATGATAATTTGGTCCAAAGGCTCCGAACTAAAGGTTTTGGAGATAGTTTCAAAAATAAAAATCCCACATGGAAGTACCATATGAGGAAAATCTAACTCTTGCAATTGGCTTCAGAAGAACACATCAAACTGGCACTACACAGGAAAGATTATGGCCATTTAATATGAATATGAAAATTTAAGTGTATCAGACTTTAAAATGTTTGGTCCTGTGTTGCAAAAATTATAAATGTTTAGAAATTTGGAATAAAATGCGGATAACTATAGATCAAAACATTCTTAGTACCGGATATCTAAAGACTCTTCGAGCTCAGAAAGATGAAGATACATTGATAGCATAATGCAATCTAAAAAGAAACTACTGAATATCCTTTTTTTTTTTTTAGACCAGTGGTTGGGAAGTTGCTCACCGAAGAGTGTGCAAGACAGATACACAGTTGCACGATATATATAATGACAGAAGTGTTACTGACTTGACTTCACATAGACAGATGGCATGTTACGGAGCTTTCCCCTCCCTTTATGTATACGCCAGTGAGACACGCTGAAATAATAGCTTGAGATGAACGATTAGAAGGACAAGAAAAGCATGTACTCTGAAATTTACAAAAGAAAATTAATTACTATAGTAAAAAAAAGAGTGCAAAATGAGCAATGAGTGCAAAAGTATGGCAGTGAGAACCAGAAACAACCTTTGTCTTTTACACAAGCTGGTATGTTTTGATTAATTTTGATAAAAATGTACAATACAATCTTAATTTTCTGAATTTGGATCATAATTTATTCTTAGTACAAAAACAAAACATTTTTTAAAAAAAGCATTCTTGCATGTGGCTTATATACAATCAGGTCAAGCATCTGTCCATTTATATATATTCGATTAAATTTTGTACAAAGACCTGGGAGGACCTTTCTGATACAATATAGAAGGTGGTTATGGCTAGGTCAGAACATTACTAGCCTTAAGAACAGTGCTACAGATCTTTCCAGGATGTGTGTAATGAGAGGATGAAAAGGTATGGGAAATCCTTTTCAACCCAATACAGTGAGAAATCGCTGGTTAAAAGACTCCCTTGGTTAGTCTTCTTATATAAAACCTCTCTTTCTAATAAAAACCTCCTGTTTATAACCACAGTGAGATCAAGCACAGTTTAAATTATTCACATAGCCTGTCGTACAAAGAAACAAAGAGAGCCTGCCTCCATCGAATGGGTTAAAACAAAAGTGTGCAAAAAGCAGTGCCGCTGAATCGAAACATCTAAAATAAATTGGTTTACATTTAGCACGATTAAGCTCACACCTTTCCAACTCCCACCTGAGGGAGAAAGACAAATAAGTGCTTTTTTATGTTGTCTAAGCTTGTTAAAAAACATTCCGTAACAGTGCCCTCGCTTAGAACGTCTAAAACGTTCTGAATATTGCACCATTGATGGGAGAATAAAAACATCAGGAGATGAAGCACCGAAGCACCGATGTAAAGCGAGTTTCAGCACCGCACTAGTGGAAAAGCTCTCTTCCACTCTCCTTTCCATGTGGGGACTGATTTTACTTGCTGAGTTTGGTCTGTAAAACACATTGGTCACTCATCCAAAGGCGAGTTACGCAAGTGTGTATGAAATGAAATTCAACTGCAAGTCCAAGTGGAAAGAACATGTTTAAATTGAGGCTGAATTCATAAAGGAAAAAAAAGATTAATGCTTATTTGCAGGATCAGAATTGCAACAATGGCTGTTTGTTAGTATTAAGGTCTGACCATAAAAGGAATTAAAATAGCCTACAATTCCTTTGAGTGTATGACCAAGTGAGTTACCCTCCTCTTACAGTTTGGACACATTTCATGCACACAAGCTATGCCCAACAATTAAAAGTATGATAATATATCAGCCTATGGGAGGGAATGATTCAACAAAAATAAAAAAGATCTACAGCTTAACAGATAGAAAAAAAAAACTCCCTGACAAATAGAAACATGTTGGACCCTAAAAATTAATAAAGATAGTAGAGAGAGAGAAAAAACACGAATATATATATATATATATATTGCTTAGAGGTTTTATCGTTTTTTTTACTTATTAGAACTGTGACTCTGCAGCGCTACCAGTGGCCAAAAGGGCTCACTACCTGTGTCCAGCTAAGTGGACTCCATTGAGAAGGGGAGGATAAGGCAGGACCAACTCCAGTTGTGCAAACAGGGAGAAGTGATCTGAGGGGATGTGAGGGTGTGGGCAACCACTGATATTGTTCTCCAGGAGCCAGTTTGTGTCCAAAGACCCGAGGACGCCCAGCACGTTCAGTTGTGGTCTGGAGTAGAAGATGTAGTCAATGACACCCTAAAATTGGGTTTAAAAAATGGAGTTGTGAGCATGCATCGTTGAATCACAATAAACAAGTCATTCTTTCTGCCGTTCTTCTGTCATGTTACGGTACACGGCAGAGCAAGCAACAGCACAATGTGACATGTTTGCAATGTCAAGTACTTTTTCTGTCATAACTAAAAGTGCAATACTGGACCAAGAGATTGAGACACAAAAATAGGTACTATTGATAATGTAGAAATAATAACTAGATTTTATTGTAAAATTGTATTGGTACCAAAGTAGTTGACATGGCTAGTCGTAAACTCTAAACAATGGCTGTCACTTTGAGCTCAATGCACTTACCTTGAAATCAAAAGTGTAATTGGTGTAAGGCATAAGCACGTTCTCATAGGCACTCTTCAGCTTGAAACCATGCGTGATCCTCCCGTTAGATGTGCCGTTTTTGCCGTTGCAGTTGAAGTTGGTCAGACTGTCACTGTAGCGCAGCTCCTTGAAGTCTTTGTGTGTGTAGTCCACCCCACCTGTGCTCAGGTACTCCACAACACCTACGATCAGATTTGAAACTCATTAAACATGTCTGACCAACATGCCTGTATGTACTGCAATTGAGACAATACTACTTAAAAGATAGTACAAAGACAACATGATATTAAAAAAATCAACCTGATTTACTTTAATAAATGTAATTGGCCTTATTTTGTTTCATCAGTGCTTGATCAAAAAATACAAGTTTTCATTCTTCCAAAAATCCTCTTTCTCTAAAACTAATTTTTTCCTTTTAAATTTTATAGGATTCTATTTTAATTATTAAATTAAAGGTTTAGTAAATCAAAAAATGTGTCTAATTAATTTAAAACATGAAGCTTACACGATTTAACCAAAATTTATTAAAATCAAAAATCAGTTGTTTTGTTTTTGTTTTTTTTTGGTCTGCATACCTAATCAATTGAATTCATAAAACTTCAACAATTTAATTACTTAAATTTGATTAACTGTACAGCCCTACTTTTATTTAATTAATCCAAATTTTGCCAAATTCTGTGACATTCAGAATTATACTGTAAATTCCATTTTTATGACTGGATTCCAGTTGGAATGTCCATGCTTCCACATTGCTGAGGTAACCAAGAGCATGTCACAATGAGCAAGAAAGTAGTTATTCCTGTTAAACTCACAACAGTCAATCATCTGTTTCAAGACTCAAAAACACCTCTATCAACACAAAATAGAAAATAAGACACTTTGCATGTCTTTGGCTTTAAGAAGGTTTACCCGAGTCAGGAAGTGAGTTGAGGTCGGCACAAAGCACCAAAGGGATGCTGCTGGTTTCTCCAGATACGGAGGAGAGCTTCAGACTACGGGAGGCTTTGTCGATTATATTCTTCACCTCTGACAGGAACATCATGGTCTGCACCAGCTTCACGTCAGAATATTCTGGGTCCCAATGCATGTGAGCATTTGCCACTAGAAAGAGCTGTTTCTCCATAGCATGGATAGACTTACCTGCTGTAGAAAAATAGAAAAAAAATGTTTTATAAAGACATCGTTTTCAATTAAAATCTGACTGGATGAGCATAATGTAGCCTTCACTTAGGGTAGTGAAATATATTATAAATGACATATATTACAATAAATTGCACAGCTGTTTGGAAATGGTGTTGAAAATAGGAAATTACATTTGCATTTTTTGTAATTTTTGCAGCATTATATTTGTGATACACACACATTACTGAAATGCAGAAATTTTTTTTTTATATTTTGCAATTCAAATTATCAGTGGAGATTTCATTAGATTTACATTGCAATACAGTAAACTTCAATGAATAAATACAGTACTATGTTTTTAGTAAGTACATTGTATTTATAGAGCTCATTTAAATTCAGCTTACACTGACCAAAGTGCTATATGTATTAGGGCTGCACGATAAATCGCATGCGATATTTAACGCGCATCTTGTCAGTAAAGCCATTCTGTAATCAGCGGTAAATCTCCATCACCTGCGGGCTTTCACATGGAGCAGCATTAACTACACAGAGCCGTTGTTCAATATCGCATGCGATTTATCGTGCAGCCTTAATATGTATCTATAAGTTAATAATCAGGAAAGGCTATAGAGTAAAGATGTGTCTTTAGTCTAGATTTAAAGACAGAAATAGAAGGAGCACTCTTGATGTCAGGTGGCAACTGATTCCATAACCGTGGAGCAGCGACTGCAAAGGCTCTGTCACCTTTAAATTTAAGCTGTGACCGTGGGACATATAAAAGAGCTTTATTGACAGATCTGAGGGACTTAGAAGCTGAATTAAAAATAAAAATAAAAAAATAAAAAAATAATAATAATAATAATAATAAGATCAGAGGTGTAAGATGGGGCTTGTCCATTAAGAGCTTTAAAAACAATCAACAAAATTTTGAACTGAATTCCAAAAAAGACAGGAAATCAGTGAAGAGAAGCTAAAATTGGAGTGATATGATCACGTTTTTTTTGTACTAGTTAACAGTCTGAACGCTGCATTCTGAACCATCTGCAAACGTGCCAGTGACGATTGGGGAAGACCAAGGTATAAAGAATTACAATAGTCCAGCCGTGATGTGATAAATGCATGAATTACTTTTTCCAAGTCTTGAAAGGAAAGTGTCGATTTAAGTCTGGAAATTATTCTCAATTGATAGTAGCTGTTTATTATTATTTTAAATTATTTGCCATCCAGCATTTAATATCTTCAAGATAGTCCATGAGAGGCGGCATAGAATGTCTAGATTTTAATGGAATGTACAGCTGAGAACCATCAGCATAGAAATGAAAAGAAATTTTATATTTCCTAATTATATTACCAAGCAGAAGCATGTACAGATTAAAGAGTAATGGCCCCAAAATGGACCCTTGAGGAACCCCACAGGAAAGAGAAACAGATGATGAGAAAAACTGGCCAATAGCCACTGAGAATGTCCTGGATTTAAGGTATGACTCAAACCACCATATCCTTAATCCCTACCCAATGTTCAAGGCGTGGCAAAAGTATACTGTGATCTACCGTGTTAAAAGCGGCACTCAGATCCAGTAAAATCAAAACTGCATTTTCACCATAATCAACCGCAAGTAACTTTTTGAAAAAATGTCTCTTATGCTCGCCACGACCACTTACTAAAACAGTAATATTGTGAAACATTACAATTCTTTTTATGTAATTTATTCCTGTGATGGCAAAGCTGAATTTCAGCAATGTCACATGATCCTTCAGAAATCATTCTAATATGCTGATTGGATTGAAAACAGATGTGCTGTTCAATATTTTTGTGGAAAGCAGAATTTTTGTATAATTTGAAAAAAAAATTTCCAAAGAAAGAATCTTTAATGTCACTTTTTTATCAGTTTAATGTGTCCTTGCTAAATAAATAAATATTTATTTATTTATTTATTACAAACACTAGTGTACACTATTGTATAATCTTTTTTATAGTACAAATTAATGGCAATGTTTTAAAATTCCATTAATATAAGATTTTTGCATTATGCTAAAAAGAATAAGGGCAGGAGGGTGCTTAAATGTCATGAAAATAATGTCACAATGGAAAAAAAAAAAACTGAATTGTGCAGATACTCACATGACAACTCTATTAACTCCTTCTTTAGCTCCAGCAGCACAGCCACTCCAATGTTGTCTTTGGTCATGACACGATTCAGCATAGCCTCTGAGCCCTCTGAATTGGCCATAGCCAGCTGGTTAAACTCTACTGTGTGTTTCTGCACCATGCTGAACCTAACAGCAAAGAAGAAAAAATCCAGTTCCATGTGTTCATTCAAAACAACACTGAAACAAACCTCTAAGACAGAGTCTGATACCACACTTCTCAACCCTTGAGTGTTACTTTACTCACTTTTCAGTCTTGTAGAATATTGCACATCCATCTACATGTTTCCTGTCCGATTCAGACATGGTTCTGGCCCGGGATTTTGGGCTGAAGAATCCATCATATCCCTCTTTACTCAGCTCCACAAGAAAGTAGTTGTAATACTGCTCTGTCTCCACTTCCTGCGTATGACACAGCAGACTAAGTGACTCTGACAAAGTGCTGTAGGGGCAGTGTTGGGAAGGTTACTTTAGAAATGTAATAGGTTACAGATTACGGGGTATACATGCATTGACTATTCAGAGCTTTTTGTTGTGTATTACTGAACTAAAAAAATGACCTTTAAAGAAACAAAACACAAAGAGAGAACTTAATCTATTAGGACAGGTATACTCAAATACACCAGAAGGTTACCAGTGGCTTATTATGTAAAACAAACATAAGTATTTAAAAATATATATATAAAATTGCATTAAACGCATTTCAGTTATGATCCATTCTGAAGAGCTTTAAAGACTGACTAGCATTTTTGGCTGGTCTGAGACGTTGTAATTGTACTAGACATTTTGCTGTAAAACTAAATAAGAGCAACCACAAGCTATGTAATTTTAGTACAGCTGCATTAGAAATTTAGGATTACATAAATTCTTTTTACCTGTAAGCTGATAATATCTGCATTGCAGCTGAGGATCTCCTGCATTATGGACTTCTTCCTGTAGCTCCAGTTAAGGGCCCAGGATGGGCAGTAGCCGTAGAGCTGGCGTGTGGCATACTTATCACACAGCACGTTGTAACACATTACAGTTAACAGGGCTGATGAAGCAAAGAGGAGAAAGAAGGATCAGGCAAAGTGTCCTTAGATTTTGAATGATGTTCCACTATTTAAAAAAAAAAAAAAAAAAAAAAAAAATCACCGGTGTTTATTGCTTTAAATGATTCATTTAAAATATTATTTATTTTATTAACCGGTTGGTCTTGTCCTTTCAGGCTCCTGCAGCACAATCCAGGACCTGGACGGAGGTGGCTCTGTTGGGACTGAGAAGGTAAAGCATATTTATTTCAGGATAATAATTTGAATCAGCTGTGCAATTTTAAGTAATATTTTCTAATAAAACATTTTTAAAAAAGCCACACTGACACGGATTTAGGTGAATTTAGAATAGATTGTGAATCTAAACAGGCTTAAAACAAATTAGCGCTACACAAAACTAAAACATCTTAAAAAGAAAAAAAAAGTCACACCCAGACTGACTCCGCTAAATCAGAATTTGGAACTGATTCTCAGAAACAAAATAAAATTACTTGACTTATTAAACCATTATACATCATGCATAAACTACAAGTTTTTTTTTTTACTATTATTAAAATTAATACTATTTTCCAGCAAAGAGACATTAAATTGATCAAAAGTGACAGTAATTACATTTATAACATTTATAATGTTATTACAAAAAATACATTTCAAATAAACGTTGTTCTTTTGAACTTTCTAGTCATGAAAGAATCCTGTTTTCAACATTGATAATAATAATAATAAATGTTTCTTGAACACCAAATCAGCATATTAGAATGATTTCTGAAGGATCACGTGACACTGAAGACTGAAGTAATGGCTGAAAATTCAGCTTTGCATCACAGGAATAAATTACAATTTAAAATATATATATAAAAACAGTTGTTTTAAATTGCAATAATATTTCAAAATATTAATGTTTTTACTTTTATCTATAAATAATAACAATAAATGCAAATAAATGCAGCCTTGATGAGCACAAGATACATATTTCAAAAACTTGAAAAAAAAAATGCAACGAGAGAGAGCAAGCGCAAATCCTGGCAGCGGCAGGTCGCAGCTCCACTTCCGGTGGCATCCTCAGATTGGATTTCCTCTGGCAGCTGCCACGGTCTTTCTCGCAGTTTCTGCTGTTTGCTCGGTAAAAACTACACTGTTCTTAGTGGCGAGCGATGGTGTTTTAAAATAACAAGGCAAAGTTCCCACAGGTGTGTTATTTATTATTATTGTTATTATTATTATTATTATTAATTATACATTTGTATGTATCAGCTGCCAGAGTTCGTGCCAGGAGTCACAATCGTTTGTCACTGTTTCTGCTGTAAACTACACTTTTTTTAAATAAAATATTTGATGACGCATATTATATACCAGCAAGCAGATGCGACCAGAATATGAACCCAATAAGCTAAATTGCATAAGCATTTTCCCATAAAGAAGATACACATAAGGATTGCTTAGCTGTATAGACAGTATATACGCACGTGTGTGTGTGTGTGTGTGTGTGTGTGTGTGTATATATATATATATACAGTGGGTACGGAAAGCTCACTTCTGAAATGATGGCTACGCCCCTGTATATATACAGTGTGTGTGTGTATATATATATATATATATATATATATATA